CCCCCTCCCCCCCCCCCCTCCCCTTCCATCCTTTATCGGTATAGAGTTTGACATTATTAGTACAAGACGTTTCACCATGGTCTGTCTTGCTGATCTAAGAGGATGAAGCCATGATGATTGTAATGTAGACAAGTAACAACGAAAACCTTATTATTATTCGTTGAATAATTTTTTCAACAAGCTTGGTTCCTTACCAATGTACGCCTCCTTTCTTTGCGTGTTATTTCCAGACAGCAGAGGAAGTGAATTTTGCTGCTAATGGAATAACTGCTGAAGGATTGAAGGCCTTTGATGGCATCTTGCAATCAAATATTGCACTAAAGACTCTTAACCTATCTGGAAATGCTATTGGAGATGAAGGAGCCAAGGTAATGCACAGATAGTATAGGTGGAATTTTAAAGCATTAAATTCTTGCAAGACAGATGGCTACTAAGCTGATCCTAACTTTTCCTGTACGCTTCCTTGACTATCATTCCAATTTAACATGCATATTTGCACCCATATTTTCTATTCTACTTCTTATGTGTCTCTAGGCACTTCAGGATCAACATGAATATTTGGTGTTTATGGTTGTGCATATGTTACCATATTTTGTGTTAGTCTGAGTCAGAGTTTTTTGCATATCCCCCGAGTTTGTTGGTCTTAAGGAAAAGCATCAAACCCGAGGCCTTTAGCTGATTTGTTTCTCTCAAGTCCAGAAACATCATACTTAGAAGCTGCTAAATGGTTATCTGGAGCAGTTTTCGTTTCTCTTACTATTACTTTATGCAAACAACTTGTTAGAGAATATATCAGTTAACCTCACAATTCTTTCTATTCTAGTTTGTCATTCCTGAGCTTTCAATTGTAATATTCTGAAGTTCATTAATAAAAATTTACATTCACAGTGTCTATGTGATATACTGGCAAATAACTCTGGTATTCAAAAGCTCCAGCTAAACAGCACCGGCCTAGGAGATGAGGTTAGCATATGCTTTTAATATTTAAAGCCCTGTTGCAGTGTTGCTATATATTTTCTGCTTTAAGATCGATTATCCCTAAAAATGTTTTTGGCAATGGTTTATCTGAATTTTGCAGGGAGCTAAAGCTATTGGTGAAATGCTGAAAACAAATTCAACTTTGCGTGTAGTTGAACTAAACAATAATCAGATTGACTATTCTGTATGTTTCTTTAAGCTGAACTTGTAATTTGTATTGGTCCAATTTTTTTACTATCTCAATTTCTGAAGGAAAACCTGTTTGATTTGAATATGGAGATAGGGATTTTCAGGTCTTGCTGGATCACTTCTTGAGAATAAAAGTTTACAATCGTTGCATCTCAAGTGAGCAAAATTTCTTCCACTATGCTTTTGTCTTTGCTTGTCCATTTGTCGTATGTCCAATTTTAGCAGTTTCCTGTTTGTTTGTTTTTTTTGGGTAGTTATGGAGGGTGGGGTGAGGGATTTGAATTGTGAAGGCATGTTAACTTTTATTTTATTTTTTTTAAATGGGAAAAAAAACTTTGATTTCCCTTATATCCTTCAACTAAGTGCTTCAATTTACTTTTCAGTGGCAACTATGGTGGTGCTTTAGGTGCTGCAGCATTGGCTAAAGGCCTGGAGGGCAATAAATCTTTGAGGGTACGTTTCTGATCAATTCCTCCCTCCCACACCCACCTCCTTATCCTATTCAGTTTCTTTTGACCTGGCAAATTATTGAGCTTCTCGTAACCTTGATATCTTGCTTCTGTGTCCTTGGACAATTTGTTGGTATTTTGTGAATTTTACTTTCTGCTCTCGTGCCCTTCCAGGGTAGGGGTAAGGCTGCGTACATCTTAGCCTCCCCAGACTCGGACCCTACTTGCGGGAAATCACTGGATTTGTTGTTGTTGTTGTTGTTGCTCTCATGTTTCAATTTGATCGCATGAAAGAGCTGTTTTCAAAATCTTCGATTGCTACCATTTTTAATTTTCTCTGTGACTGCTGACACTAGGATAGCATGCTAATGCGCTTAATGTCATTAAAGCGACTTTCTCTGTTTACCTATTGGAGTACTATATATCCTAAAAACCCCTCATTTCTTCAACTATGCTTGAAATGTTTCTGTATGTGTAGGAACTTTATTTGCAAGGGAACTCTATTGGTGATGAAGGAGTACGGGCATTAATTTCTGGCCTATCTTTGCGTAAAGGTTTGCTTATGATGTATCATTAACCATTCTCTTTACCATATTCCTGTTGTGTTTTGTGCATATTCGTGGAGTTACATGCGTCACCATTATATGTCTGCAGGGAAACTTGTCTTACTTGACATGGCCAACAACTCAATTACTGCTAGAGGTGCATTTCATGTAGCAGAATATGCCAAAAAAAGCAAAAGCTTACTATGGTTGAACCTCTATATGAATGACATCAAAGATGAGGTAATTGAATCACTTAGAACTTTCACATGTTCTTTTGGGGAAGGTTAATGATTGATTGATAGAGAAAAACATGAAGAGTATGACTTGGTTGGAGCTGAATGTGAGAGTTGTTCATTATTGGAAGCAGAGCATAGGGTTAGACCGCATGGTCGAGAAAAAACTTAATGGTTCCATACATTAAAGAAGATAATTTCCGACTGGGTTTTATCACGTTGGGATGGCCAAAAAAAAATAAATTAGAAGGTTTGCTTGGTCCATGGTAGTAACTGGAAGATGTTGAATGAACTGAGGTCCTTTTTTTTTTCTGCGAGTGGGTCCGGACTTCAATCTCTCGATATGCATTGACTTTTCCTTTTTTCCTCCCCAATTGATATCCGTCAGGGAGCTGAAAAGATTGCAGAAGCTTTGAAGGAGAACCGCTCAATAACTAACATAGATCTAGTAAGCTGTTGTTTCTTCTTTTCTATTTTATTTAATATTTCTTGTTTGTTCAGGGAGGAGGTTGTTGTTTCTTAGTCAAGAATTATTTTCGTACTGGTATTTGCATACACCTTCGATGACTGAAGTTCTATGAAAATTTTACAGGGGGGCAATGACATACATGCTAAGGGTATCAGTGCCTTAGCAGAAGTTCTGAAAGATAATTCTGTCATTACCTCAGTGAGTTTCATCAAAAAATTTCCTTTTACTGATGTCTCGAAAAAGAGATACTTAAAATTTCTTACGCACAGTTAGAGCTTGGTTACAACCCCATTGGACCAGAGGGGGCGAAGGCATTAGCAGAGGTCCTCAAGTTTCATGGAAATGTGAAAGATCTCATGCTTGGTTGGTGTCAGGTAATCGATGGATTGTTTCGTATAAGCTCTATTTATTCAACTCTTTTAGCATGCTTACCTAATTTTATTGCAAGATTGGAGCCAAAGGTGCGGAGGCTATTGCTGATATGTTGAAGTACAATAGTACCATCTCTAATCTAGACTTGCGAGCCAATGGACTAAGAGACGAGGTTTTAATTCGTAGTTTATAGTTCATTCATCCTGTGACAATCAATCTTCAATTTTCCTCAAAGTACAATAACTATCTCCTTTTCAGGGTGCAATCTGCCTTGCTCGGAGTTTAAAGGTGGTCAATGAAGCCTTGACAACACTCAATTTAGGGTTCAATGAAATTAGAGTATGTAACTCCTTTTAAGCACAACCTCCTGTCTCGATAAACTTAGCTTCTTGCAAACTTAGTCTCTCTTGTGCACAGGATGAAGGAGCTTTCTCCATCGCTCAAGCACTGAAGGCAAACGAAGATGTAAGACTCACATCCATAAATCTTACCAGCAACTTCCTCACCAAACTAGGGCAGGTATCTTCAAATGACACCCTATTTTATTCTCATATTCAGCTGTTTTACACAATATTTAGATCCTCACATCTGGATGGATTTCCAAATTTCAGACAGCTCTCACAGATGCAAGAGACCATGTGTTTGAGATGACTGAGAAGGAGCTTGCTGTTATGTTCTAAAATACTACTCCTTTGATCAAATATGTTTTTCTTCCTACTTTCTATTCTTGAGGTTGGGGCATGGGTGCATAGATGGAGGATTTTGTCGTCTTTTTTTTTTTTTTTTTTTTGCTTTTTTCTTTTTAGGGAATAGAATCACAGCCCACCATGATATTCTTTCCACTGGCGTGGATCAAGAGTCTACCCTTAGTTCCCTTGTTTCTGAATTCTTGAGTGGGCAAGGGTGGGAATTTTGGTATTGAGCTATGTACTGATATTGTCAAAGAATTCTTCTTTTAGTCTTCTCATTTGATAATGTAAGTGGCATGTATACGACAATTCTTCAATATTAATTGTTAGGTTATAGTAAATATAAAACAGATCCAGCGAGGTATTCCTATCGAGAACTTCAATTAGTTTTTTTTTTGGGTTGGCTTTTTTAGTACTTCAGATTCATTTTTAAGCTCTTTGAGTTGTTTTTGGTTCCCTATCTTTGAGCCTATGCGATGGTAAAGGACGAAACAAGCTAACCTTATAGTCATTCAACTTTTCTGAAGCATTCTGATAAATGTGCTGCGTTCTAATGCTTATCCTTCCCCTTGAAAAAATAGGGGACAGGAAAAACCATGAATAAAGAAAAAGAAAGGGAAGTGTATTCATACCGTTAAGGGTTAAAAAAAATCTTGAACTATATGCATAACATGTTCGTGTACAATCCAGAAACTGCTTGTTTATTTTAGTTGGCATCTTGTGTACGTTGAGCTTGTAAAGTTTTCAAATTGGAATTTTGTGGGATAAGGTGGACAGCTGGGGTTCTCAAAATCTGCAAGGCAGTATTATTCAGTGGATAACTCTTCAAGATTACTTCGAACGGAGTGTTTTCAGGACAGAGCTGAACAACACGAAATGTGGCTAAGCTCTCTAAATGACATATCTGTATTCGCATCACCAAATTTTTAGGTGTGCGATTAACTGCTTCCAGAAAGTAAGGGGGGAAGACATCAGAGAACCCCACACATATACTAGTGGTTTTTCGGCTTTTTTTTATGGTCCAAAATAAGTGATTTTTCAAGTCGGTCTCCAAAATAAGTTTTTTGGCTCCTTGTACTGCCTCCTTTTCCAGTAGTAGTGCAGATATTCAGCAGACTCCAGCTCAAACATTAGATAACTACGCGGTTTTTAGTGTCATCTTTTGATTTGCATGGTCCACTCTTTCTTCTTTTTCTTCTTATCTTTTCAAATTCTTAGTTGTATGGATGTTGATTTGAAGCTATGAAAAAGGAAAGATTTCAATAGCACAGGGACTGAATTCTTCCTCCTGCGTAGCAGACTTCAATTTATGAGGAAAACAACTGTATTGTAGCTGGCATTTCTCCAACTTGTCTCCCTTTTTCAGATTTTTAGAGTACATTTTCATGTACATTAACATCTTTTTAAAAACTAGACCACAATGGTGCGCTATAGTGAAACAGTAATAAAATAGTTTTGCACATTGGGAGCATCACTTTATTTCCTAGAGTTCGTTTGGTTTACCTCATTATCAAAATTAATCTCAACATAAATAATACAATAGTTAATTGGTTTTATGAGAAAAAAATAATCTGTGATAACTAACGTATGATTGGATTTAGTAAACTCTGTATTGCTAATACTCTCACATGTTATGCAGAAATATTATATTATCTTATTGTGAAGTAGCTAGAAGGTGCAAAATAGAATAAGCTCTTAAAGTAAGTAATCCCTACATAATAATTTTATATTGTTATCTTAAAGTAAATAATTCTTACATCGTTACTGATTGCATAACAATTTATCATAATAAGTGTCTCCTGCTCAAATATGCTACAGACTTTTGAATTCCCTTCTGTCCAAATTAAAAATAAATAAATTGGAGACAGCAAATATTCCCAAATGCAGCCCACCAAAAAATATAGTGATGGACACTTCGTAATACACCAGCTGTACATTGAATCTTTGTTAGGCATGGCACATCATCAACATTATTTGTTGTCTACTGCCTTTTAAATTCTGCCTCAATCCTATTTTCAGGACCATGCTTCGAGGTTCGAGCCTACTGAAACTTCCAAAATTGGCCAAACACAGAAGCAATAGTATAGTAACAAAGTATAGGCACATTACCATTCTCCACTTTATTCTTACCTAGCGTTTGGACATAATTTTGGTTGAAACTTAAAAAAAAGTTAAAGTTGTGTTGAAAAATAACTTTTGAAAGTTGAAATTCTTTATGGACATGAATTTTATTTGAAGAAAAGTTAAACTGTTGTGAGTGAAAAAAAATCACCCAAAAACTATCCTAAACCTATTTTTGGGAACTTGAAATATTTTTTCAAAAATTTCTTAAAAACTGATCATATTTCATGAACAAACAATGTTTTCATTTTATTTAATATTTTCAATTTATTTTTAAAAAGAAGTAATCAAATCTATGACCAAACGGGAGCTTAAGCACGCGTAAGGTTAAGGTTTATTATAGGTTTACATTCAAATGTTAAAAACAGTTTAATTATGGAAAAAACTTCTTAATGTAAAATTCGTTAAAAAAAATGCTTGTCTAATCACGTTTTGTAAATAAAATGAATAAGAGGAATCATATAATCGACTCCAATAAATTTCTAATTTTCTTGTTAGTAGTTAGTTCGAATTTCGAATTCTCATGGTCACACTCCTACTCTTTTAACACCAAAAGTTTGTTGGAAACCTTAGCTTTGAACTCACATAATAGCATTTCCTACGTATAAAGTTGTATGTGCTAATTAGGGGTGTACTTGGATCAGGTTGGTTCGGTTTTTATCAAAATCAAATCAAATCAACTATATCGGACCCCAAGTTTTGATTCTGCTCTATGATCATGCTCCTGGGGTGGTGGAACGGATCTGACTGGCCCAATAAAATAATATAGTATTCTACACTTCTTGGCCTTTATATGAGGTGTGTAATCCCGACTTTCTGGCAAGAAGAATTCCAGAATGTAAGCACTTTGTTCCTCAATCCTTGACTCCTCAAATGGCTCGGACGACTCTATTTCCATATCATCATCTAAACACAATGTGGAAAAATGCTTGGAGTGAGGACCAATGCCCTCAACTACATGAACATTGGGACAGTCTACATTCTCAACACTAATGACAATAGAGTCAACAAAATATGTATCCTCAATATCCTTGGTTGACTCTAGTATCTCTTCTACAACATCGACATCCTCAAAATCTAGTGCGAGTAATTGTTGGTGTTCTACTCTAGCATCCTCCTCTAGCTCATCAATTTCTGTATCTAATTCACGCTCTTCTTGGATACTATTTACAATATTGGCTTGTTGAGCATTAAAAACTTCAACCAGTTGACTCATGTGAACTTTCAAGTTGTGAATAGTTTCCTCCTGCCTTTCTATCCGCAGTAGTAATTTACTCTGTTGTTCCAAAATGCACTTTAACATATCTTCGAGCTTCTTTAGGTCAGCTTCCTTAGGTTCTTTGTTCCTATTAACTTCACCAGAAAAAGAAGAACCATCAAAGTAAGGGGTTGGGGGAAGGTAAGAAATATAAGCACAACCGTGAAAGTGACCATCTTGACCACCACACATATCACACACATTCCACACATAAGATTGAGTTGGTGCACAAAACTCGCTCTCAGGAATATTTTGATAATTTTGCCCTGGGTGGTTTCCTTCACAATATGCATAAGGAGGATCAAAAGTAGAATTACCAACAACAAAATTCTCATAATTCCATGA